GGTGAATCACCTAGGGAACTCCATGATGGGAGCTTTCAGGAAAGTGGAACAGTGGTGCTCCGCCGGTGGGCTTAGAGTGAATCCTGAAAAAGCGGATCTGGTGTTATTCACCAAGAAACGTAAAATAGGGACACTTCCAGAGGTTTTTCTCTCAGGAAGGTGTCTTCAATACAAAGGCTCAACCAAATATCTTGGAGTCACAATCGACTCCAAGTTGACCTGGAATGAGCATATAGGTAATCGCACCAAGAAGGCTATATGCTGTTACTGGGCATGCAGAAGAGCCTTCGGGAAAACGTGGGGCCTATCACCTAAGACCCTTCACTGGATATACACAGCAATTATTCGCCCAACACTAACGTACGGGTCCATCGTATGGTGGACCAGTACTAAAAAGAGCAAAACCAGACATGAATTGGATAGAGTTCAGCGACTGGCTTGCTTAGGAATGACAGGTGCTATGAGGACAGCGCCTACTAGGGCCCTTGAGGTCCTACTAGGTCTGCCCCCTTTACATCTGATTGTAGAGCATGAAGCCATGCGCACTGCCTACAGACTCAAAGGTGCAAACCAATGGATCGAAAAGGCAGACTATGGACACTCCCTAATATGGAACAAGGCCGAAGAGAGCTGTCCCAGTCTGCTGATGGTAAGGGACAGCACTCTGCCAGTTCTGAATTTCAATAAAGCTCCGCATGTCATTTTTCCTACAAGAGAGGAATGGACTGGCAATACACCAGGCTTGCTTCCTGCCAACGTATCAACCTGGTTCACGGATGGCTCAAGGTTTGGTGGCGGGTCTGGTGCAGGAGTATATGAAGGAGGAACAGGGAAAGGAATCTCAGTACCTCTTGGCAAATACGCTTCAGTGTTCCAGGCCGAAGTGTTTGCAATTCTGACGTGTGTCCAAGAAAATTTCGGCAGAAGTGGACGTGGACCAGTCACCATATGCTCGGACAGTAAAGCTGCTATTATGGCATTGAGATCCAATAGGATCACAACTAAATTGGTGTCCGAGTGTAGAAGTGCCTTAGAAAATATGGCAAAAACTAGGAAAGTCAGCCTCATGTGGGTTCCAGGACACTCTGGTATCCCGGGGAACGAGGAGGCAGACAGATTAGCCAAGATCGGTTCAGGAACGAAACCCATTGGACCAGAACCGATATTGGGAATACCCAATAGTACGGCTATGTCCTTCATGAAGAAAATGCTACAGAGGCAGTTCCTTGAAACATGGTGGGACACACCAGGAATGAGACAATCAAAGCTCCATATAAAGGAACCTTCAAAAAGGCTCACGAGAGAGATCCTGTCACTTAATAGAAGGGATCTCAAGATAGTAGTTGGGCTCTTAACTGGGCACAACCACCTCAACAGGCACCTAGAACTCATAGGGATCAAAGATGATCCCATCTGCAGATGGTGCTTGGAGGATGATGAAACATCATCACACATACTCACTGAATGCCCCGCGCTGGTGCATCAGAGGAAAGCTGCCTTTGGGAGCATTGTACTGCACCCAAAGGATGTGAAAGTGACTCAGCTGAGGAAGCTGCTGAATTTCGTCAAAGAAATCGGCATGTCCAGCTGATTCACAGGACAAGTGGGCGCACAATGGGCCCGACTGAAGAGGCCTGAGTGCAGGGGTCTACGCACCCGCCCACCTGTGCAGAGAAGAAGAAGAAGAAGAAGAAGAAGAACGTCACTTAGTAGGTTAAAATAAGACGTCAGTTTCATGACGTTGCAGGGACATCCTATCGACGTCCATGTTTCCCAGACCATATCTCAACCATATATACTCACATTGTGTAGCCGTTAGTTTTGTGACGTACCTATACATGTATACAGGATGGGCATTTTTAGTGTCGTAAAGTTTTCAGAAGAAATAATTTCTTCATTGATTTCACACACAAACATAGAAACTTGTACGTCTTGGTTATTTTATATAAATGCTTCTTCGATATTGAAACGAATCAACATGCAAATTTTATCAGAATTATATATATCCATAAAGTAAAAGAAATCTTCTTTTGAAATTTGACACCCTGTATATCATGGAAACCAATCAAGGTATATATGTATGTATACAAATGATAATATAGGTGTACCTATATTGAAACCGTCAGTTCAATGACGTTGCAGTGACGTATTTATGACGTCTAGATAAAAACCAAGTCGGAGTGACGTACCAATTTGGTAAGTTTCGTCTTTTCAATATTTTCAATAATTTGCTATTCAGATTTTCGTATGAATATACGTTACTCAACAAAGTGGAGCCTAATTCGCCAACATGCTTTTCAATGCAATCGAACTATTTTTGGTTTGCTTACATCTCGTCAACACAAACTACATAATTTTTTATACAAATACGAGTTACTGATTCAATTCTGATGGAGATGTGTACTGAGGGGGGGCGGTGCTGAATAGACGATTGAATGGAAATGACACCGGAGGGACCACCAAGCAGACTCAACAATGGCTGATCAATATTATAATATGTCATCAGAGGTCAGTGGTGATTATCACACCATTTTCGAGGAAACTTCTTTACGTGTCATCACCAAATTTGAACGATATTTTGACGTCATTTCGACGTCACCCCGACGTCACAGTCTGGTGTGTGGATGACGTCAATAAACGTGAGTAATATGACGTCATTGCGCTGTGACTTATTCACGTCATTCATCACGTCATACGACGTCTATTCCAAATGTCACCTTGGCCATTCAACTGACGTGAAAAACGTCACTGAAAAGTTATCTGGTTACGTGGGAGGCGTGAATTTTTTCTTCTTTCATTTCATTTTTCAAAAGAATACTTTTCAAGAAAGAGGTCGAATTAGAACAAGTTAGGTTGAAAGTAAGTACTCTCCTTCTTCATGCAGGAGAGATATTCTTCTTCGCCATATTACCTTTATGAGTCTCACAAACACGAATAACCTTCTGATAACCGTGAGGTTTGAAAGATCCACTGGCATAGCTAGACGCTTGTCAGCTTGCGCCGTGGCTGATGCCAACAATTCGCTGCGTTCGCCTGCTGGATACGTACTCGAAGCTTAAGACATCGACGAATCGTATATTCATGGGTCGACGAGCTTTGTCATTTCGATGAGAGATGAGGTTAGAGGTATGAGGCGTGGCCAAGATGAACTAATCAACTCTGTATCATTATGTTCTGCCAAAATAAGTGATTTAAATAAATCACTTGTTGATATAAGAAATACGATGAAAAAGCTTGAGGAAATGAAAGAAGAGGATAATGTTTTGGAAAAACAGGTGAATGATTCGAATTTCAGAGTAAACGATATTGCAGAAACCTCAAGGCTACTGAATATGGAAATACAGGGCACCCCAGACAAAAGGAATGGAAATCTGACATCAGTCGTCGGAGAGACATCCAGATTTCTCGGCATTGATATTTCAGATGAAATTGAAACGTTTATCGTGTCCAATTCAACAAGAATGATCGAATCGTCCAAGTAACTGAAACAAATATTATCTGAAATATATGGAAATATATCGCGATGTCCCAAGCATATGCTACCAATATTCCCAGACAGATATGATGATAATAACATGAGAGCAGACAAATAAATTATGCTAGGAATATACTATGGATACTAGTTGAAACATATTTCCAGCATATGCTAGGGATATTAATATATACTCTGCTTGCTATGTGGGTAGTGATTTTCTGTTGCACATGTAGGTTGTATAATATTTTAACCATTATTATTCATCCTGTTTATAGATGCATTTCATTTCTGTTGTTTTTAATCCCGATACTCACCAGACCGGTGTGTAACGAATCCACAAATGCATTTGCAAATGAACGGTTTTTTTGTGATTGCATATTTCATATTTCTTTCTCTGTTGTCTTTGTTTCCAGTTCCGAATAGTTCCAATGATTTATTCAATGATTTTCAATATTTTCATTTGTCAAATTACTGATTATTATTATTGACTGACGCCGGACACTGACAAGCCAGTTGTCAATCCTACTTCTTCTTCTTTTCCTTTAGAAATCCTGTCCTGTGTATCTGTGTCCGTTTGCTTGGTATCCTGTCAGGCTGTGGCCGGTGGTTGATGAAATTTTCACATGAATAGGAACATTTGATTGATTTGATTGGAGATATTTTTGCTTAGATTCCTGTTATTATCCAGAATGAAAATAACAACCAGGATTCCAGAATAAACCCAGAGTTTGTAATTAAAGCCAACACTCCCTAAGCCTCTTTCCTTATTGATTCCAAGTCGAATCAACAACATTGACCCCTGGTTCAAACTGTAAGTACCGAGGTAGTTATACCTCCTGTACCTGTCTCCACTGTTGCTACTTTGGGCCTCTGTACAAAAATATTTTGTGTAGAGCAGGTTTTAATCTTCTGATAAATAAAGCAATTTTGTATCATCTGAAGAGAATTTCAGCTATCCACTAGAAGTGATATTCATTAGTACCATGCAAGTATCATTCACTTCTACATACTGTTTTCTTTTTGACGAATAATTAGTGGGTTAATTACATTATTCATCAATACGATTCGATCTCTCAATTCAGGTATCAATTTTTCTCTAGTTGCGGTTTTATAATCCAATTTATGGAAAACATGTGGACGGTGAGCTTTCAATTCTTCAGCCTAGCCAACATGAATATTCGAATCCTGTGGATTTCGGCAATGAAGTTGTTGAATGTGAGTGATTTTTTGAAGTAATCATTGTATGTGTGATATGATCGAAGCAGTTTGAACATTCTGTGATATGTTACTCGTTCCATTCCTGATTCTTCATAAATTTTCAATTGGAATTGTATCAAGTTGATGCAAACATTGTGAAAAATGAACTTGGAAAACTACCCCATCAAACGAATAGTATGATTGTAGAATATTTATAATTCATTATAATAATTGTACACATACCTTTTGATAATATATCATTCTTCTACTTTCATATACATAGGCGTCTTCTCATGATGGTCAAATCGATCAATCATTTCAGGTCATAAAAGTACTTGATATAATAACAGATATCAAACTATTCATAAATTGGAATGATGACGTATATTCTCTGAAATATCGAAAATCACAATGGGATATTTACTAACACGAATATCGGAATGAGAATACATATGATTTCAAACAAGAATTGAATCATCTTGAGATATTATTTCAGAAACACATTATGTCAGGTACACATTGTAAAGTAATATGGTCGAATCTTTCACTTTCGTCACACTTTCTGAACATGAGTCTGTACCACCACATCACCTTCAAGCATTCATAATACTCATTGCAATTTTTGGATGGATATTTACCAGCACTAGTGCAGGCAGCAGGAGGAGTTGGATCTGAAAACAATTGGTGAACATTGAAATAAACTAGAAATCTCGATGGAAAAAAGAGGATAATATTCGAGATCATTGATCGCCTTATTTATATACGAATTGGTACAAAAATTAGCTCTTGAATTGACGTTCTATTACTGACACAATAATATATATGTTGCTATGAAACATATTTACTTCCTGGGAGCTGAAGTTGAACACATTATAGTTGAGTATGGGAATTATAAACATCTCAGTCAACTATTTTTGATCTGATCAGGCAAGCCTTCAAGATTCACATACTTGCTTGATCTGTATTTCATTCGTTATTCTCGGGATGGATAACTTTTTCTTGCATTATCACGGCAAGCAATAGTTTTTTTTTGTCTCAAACAACGATATTGTTCATCTCTATTCGATTATCAAGTCAAACACAGTGTAGTATGGAGAAGAGAGGAATCAATAATCGCTACTATTATTCAACTACGAAATAGCCACAATGCTCAAAGTGGAATGAAATGTTGAGTGAATACAAATAGCTCAAAGGCATTTTCACACAATGTTCATAGAATGAACGAAAATGGTAGATTTCGGGAGAAAAACAACTACTTTCCTGGCTATATAATGCCCAGCAAAACATTCAATTACATCCTCTTGAAATCTTTACATCGACTCGTATAAACGAATACTGATAGAAGTGATACTTCCCAGATTGCCTATTGATTTCGATGTAGCCCACGCTAGACAACCACAAATCGGTTTCGAGCTCTTCGATTTTCATCAGTGCAGTGTAATCTCCAGCCAGCAGTCCAAAGACCGCCGACTCAGCGACACAACCTGGAGCTAAAATCTACTACTTTTTTTCCTTGTATAATAAATAACTATCATTTGAGTTAATTGTGTCGGTTGCAGGAAGATTAGCATGTTTCATTCGGATCAAAAGTGACTTCGTTTGACAAGCGAATTGTGTATTTGCGAGGCGGAGCGTTTACCGAAAAAAAGTGTAACTTTTGATCCTAATAAAACAATCTACTATTTATCGAATACAATCAGCCAGTAGCCTTGGAAGTCAACTTGTCACGGACATTCGACCTTTTCAAAATCATTAATATCAAAAATTTATTTGTTCCACTATATCTGTTCGTTCAGAAGGCAAAGTATTGGAATATGCCATCCAAGGGCGTACCATTGATTAATGCTTTGGCTTGACCTAAGAGCAATCGGAAATCGTTTGACGTTTAGATGTAGGAAACAATTAATCGGTTGGTCATAATTTTTTCAGAAACAGGGTGTAGGTAGCTCATATTTACTTTCGTTAATAGTTAATGAATGTTACAAGTACCGTTTCCCGTTGCATTCGTACTGTCGTTGGAATAGGATTACTGTATATTTGGAAACTTATCCTCGTTGTTTTGGTGTTGTGAATCATCCGAAATGTTCTGCCTCTAATGCTTGGGGTCTAGCGGGAATGATTACAGGGATATAGGGTGATCAAAATATAGATTTTTCAAGTTTAGGATTTTTTTGTCTCGAAACTATTCATTATTGGTCGAAACGGCTCTTATGTTTCCATCTTAACTTTTGATTTACTGTCTACTGACATTTAATTGGGACATTTACAGGGTGGTTCAAGATTCAGAATTCTGATCACCCTGTATCTGTTTCAATTATTAAATGTCAGTAGATAGTAGATCAAAAGTTGAGATATGGACACGAACGCCGTTTTGACCGATGATGAATAGTTACGTCTCAAAAAAATCCTAAAGTTGAAAAATCTCGATTTTGAACATCTTATATATCTGTAATCATTCGCGCTAGACCCCAAGTGTGATGCATTGACCAAATCAGCTCTTCAGGAAGAATCTCAAAATACAATGAAAAATAGGGTGATCCATATAAAAAAATCAAATAGTAATAGTAGTAGATTGATTGTTTCGAGCACCCTGTATTTTCTGATGTAGCGGAAAATCATTCAAGATGATATTTCAAATTTCGAAATCGGATTAAAAATAACTGAGTTAGAGGGGGGGAAATTTATGGTGAATCACCCTGTACATAGTCGTCGGCAAAAATATCACCTAAGAACAAGGTGATATCAGTGGACAATTTTAACAGTAATAATATGTTCCAATATCACATACCTCCATAAATATAGAATTTTTGGCGCCATAGATATCTCATGATATAGGGTGTTAGGTATTGAATGGCAAATTCTGATGTTTTTGCTATCTTGTCGTTCAATAGATTTGGGGCATTTTTGTCAGTAACACACCACACTGGATTCTGGCATAATGGAAACTGACACAAGTTGTTGATGGAACAAAGCAAATTCTATCTCTAAGGTGGATAGACACACACTGCTACACTACACATATTCAGGAATAACGATGAAAAACTATTGCAGTACATTGAAAATGTTACCTTCTTGAGTTGCTGCAGTGAACTCAGTCAGATTATTTGAGCAATCAGTATTCGTAGCTACAACTTCGAGGACAAGAACTTCATTCCACTTCTTATCGACTAATCTAAGATGCGCACTATCTTCATGTATATTAGGAATCGAAAACCAAACAGTTCAAAAATGCTTATGAAGATTGATTCATAAAATAAAAAACATTGAGATAGCTGTCCTCATGTAATTCTGAGGAAAGAACGTTGCCTTCCACTAGTGAACTGCGACTTCACGAAACCATTACAAGTAAACAATATTTTGAAAGAATAATGAACTGTTATTGGTGATTAATTGAGAAGGTCACCCTTTCAGGTTGTTTTTCACAAAAATTAATTACCTGTTTGTGAAGTTGTACTGTCTGCCCTCGTTGTACTTTCTGTCGTTGTTTCTGTAAAACAGAATCATATTAGTCGACATTAAAATTTTCGAAAAATCATATTAGTCGACATTAAAATTTTCGAAAAACATGATTTAAGGATATCGATATCAATATAGTAGGTATCGATAATGAAATTTCCACCATAATTATATTGATGAGATGGGTAGATTACCAGTATTTTTGCTGGATGAATCGGTGTCCCCCTCTTTTGTGCACCTGCGAAAAAAAAAACTCAACTGAGATTTTAATATCCATCAGTGGGTAAAGCTACACTTCGGAATGGTAATTTTGATATGTTTACCGCGTACCTACTCCAATAAACTCAATATAAACATATTGGGTTCATTGACCTACTCATAGCCACTCACTGAAATAAAATGGAAATTGCATAATATTCAAATGCTGAATTAGTTCTTGTGATGGAGATATTTTTTTATAACGAAGTAAGACTGGGTGAATAGGAACTGGAAAAAAAATTTGTTCGAAACTAAAAATGTTTTGTAACTTCAACAAAATCTGAGAATCATATATTCACGACCAAATATTTCGTCACCGCAACAAATTATTGTGTCAGTTTCCAATCTTAAATTTATTTGATTTCACTCATTGATTCTGTTGAATGAAATTATCATATTCCATTCAAGTGACAAAATTTTCAGTTGCTCACAGTGAATATGTTCAAATAACAATATATATAATCTAATTATAACGACATAGTTTTTTTTTCATTCAATGAAACAAATCATTCAATCAACAAAATTGTATTTTGAATTGACAAAATATCGTGTTGAATAACGAAAAAATCCATTTACTGAATTCCCAAACTAGAAGAAATCAGATATTGATTTCCTTAGTTGATTCAGGAATACTAGCTTGTGAAGGCGTCATTGAAAATTCTAGGATAGCTTAATATAAATATATAAACGAATGTTCAAGGTATAGGTATATGTACACCCAAATCGAGACGAGCGTAGGAGAATTGAAAGCAATGCCACCTGGTGGCGAAAATGTAACTAGATAATCATTTAACAAAATATTTGATTGATATGATGTATCTGTGAGTTCTGATCGAGGAAATAATCTCTTCTAAATAACAACATATTCCTTGATAATGATGCGTTGAATCAACAAAATATAATGTTGTCTCATAATCAATTCAATTTTGTCCAATAGAAAAAACGTTTGATTGGTTGCAAAATGAAATGATTGTTGAATCAACAAAATATGACGTTGTACTTAGTTGAATCTCTGTCAAAATTAATTTAATTTTGTCAAATAGACAAGATGCATATGATTGATCAAAGCATGAGATGATAGTTGAATCAACAAAATTAGTTTTATGTCAACTTCAAATGTTATTGAATGAAATGTAACTTTTGTTCAAGTAAGCAAATATATCAATCAAATTATATTGTCTTTCTGAATGAGTGGTTTATTTGGAATGAACTTATTTTTTGTTGATTTCGCAAAATTGTGTTCAATTGAACGAAAAAAAATGACCAAAGTTATATTGATAATGCAACAAGACTTTTTTTTTTGGTGTAACATTATTTGAGAAAGATCACAAGTTTCTCAAACTCAATACACGAAACTTCAAATCCTATATGGTTCACTCATCACAAATGTGGCAACATGAGTTCTGTGAATGTTAGTTTTGCCATTGGCAACATCCTTGTTCGATTGTTTGGTCAAACATTATGACCGTCGTGACACCTGTGCAATGCTGAAAAAACTCAATCCAACGAGGTAAGGAAAAATCAAGGTATAATTCACCAAAATGGTATTTTTCGAACAAGTAACATCACTTTTTTTGTGTCTAATTGCTTGTGGTTCCTATGGACCTGATATTTCTATATTGACTCCTTTTCATGATATATTCCTTCTTCCTACAGATTTGGAGTTGACCTCCAACTCAATTTTTTGATGAACTTGTCTCCATTCACCTTTCAGATGATTAACAAGCAAATAACGTGCTGAAACAATTACTGTTTTTATTCACCTTGCCTGTAGGGGGAATAGAAAATCACTTTTGGAATTGTTTCATCTGAAACTCTGGGAATTTTCAAAACTCTATTTCATGCCCTCCATCCTAGAAACCATGACACAAATTTTCTATTTCTCTCCTCATCAATAATATAAATACATATCAACTCGGCAACACAATCTGAGAAGTCGAAAACTGTTTCTACTGACCCCATTTTACGTACCGTCAATTTTGAAATGGAATGATCAGAAGTGCTCAGTATAATCAGCATGATCCCACTAAACATGTGATGTTACAAAATATTGCCACAATATATCGTGAAGCTTTCTTCCGTAATATGAAAATACAATATTGTATCTATTTTGCTGCTATATTCGTGTTGACGATATAACAGAAAAACATACTGACAAATTGTTTGTAAGTTACAAAATGACCCTTTCAATTAAGTTTCAATAGCAATATTGCATCAACTATATATTCTCATTGAAATTGCAACATTACATGGATCAACTACGAACAATATTAGTGCAACGTTACATATGGAATTTTCAATTGTGATGTTGCATCAACATTGATACTTCATTGAGTTTGTGAATAACATGAGGTAACTACAAACAATATTGCTACAACTGATGAGATGCAACACATATTTGAATAAAAAATATAATATAGCTGAAATATACAAAATGCTACATTGGGTATCGATCGAGAGACGCCATTTCATGAAATGCCTACGCGCAGTCGCAAACTTGCATTCGACAAACGCCAGTATCTTAGTCGCCATATTTGTTCGTGTTTGGCTTCGGTAACAGGTATTTTGTTGTTGTACACGTCCAAATGGCAAATGATATCAATAAATAATATACTTTGGAACATAAATTGAGGTATAAGTGGTGATCTGGCGATATGTGATATTAGGCAGTTGGGAAGGTTTTGAATCGCAGTTACAGTTGATGATTAGGTAAGTCAACATCAGTTATTCTAGGTTAGGTATACATTTTACAAATTCATACATCGTTCATTGGTCTAAGCGGATCGTTCGATCGACAAAAAATAACATAGAATGATTATAATTATTCGTATACCTATACTCAAAGTTATAGGAAAACCTCGTGAATTCCTTTGAGTATGCAGTCAAAGTGAATCAAAGTGTACCTACTCTCTTATTGTTTCTGTTTGCGGGTCTTTATCGGCTCTTTATCAGGAACTCTATAAAACATTACAAATTATATGAAATCAATCCTTTTTATTACTGAAACACTTAGGGACATTGAGGTTTTGTTTAACCTCATAGTGATAGTGGAATCATTGCTCGAATCATCAAATCTTATCTGTCATTTTACTGCACTTAGCTGTTGTAAAAAAAACTTTGAGCTCGCACTCACAATTCATTCTGAAACAACCTCAAATATCGTTCTTCAGAATATTCTCTAGATGCTGAGAAATATTCATATTATCTTCAGTGTATATTATGAGGATACTCTCAGCATACCTTGGAAAATGAATATTTCCAGAATCAAGTATACAATCCTCAACTCTCAAGTTCAACCGGTAGATGAACTAACTCAACTAACAGGTAGATTCCTGACTATTTTATTTTATCATTATTTCCTTTGTTCCAGGTTCTTATACAGTGCAGTGCCTATGAGACCTAGTACCGTTATATCAAAAATATTTAGAAATTTTTTCAATCTACTTTTAAATTATGAAATAGCCGACACAGTTATTCGATTATTAGAATATTGTTACTGTGAGATATTTGATTAAAGTTAGAAAGTCACCCTATATATTTGATTCGAATCGTCAAACAGGCCCTTTATGTTCCTACCTGGAATAATCCGTTGATTCGGCTTCAGGCTGACTTCCACTTAACCATTGGCTACTTCGGAGTGGACTGTATTGTAATGAGGGGGTGAGCACACGAGAAATACCGGCACTGAGTTTTCCGGTAATAGTTTACCTCGGTTGAGTGTTTTTCGCCCGGGCTATCGAAAGATTTAAGACCACTGTCCGAGATGTCGTACCAGCACAGGTACGCACGCGACCTTCTTTTTTTGCGGTAGGTGAGAAAAAGCCATTTGACGAGCAATTTGCGCGTATGATCTACAGGGCGACATTTTTATATATGAGTTACGGAACGGGATAGTAGATAATATTGGAATCATATTCCTACCCCTATGAGACTAATTAATTCTTAAAACCTAACATGAACAATGAACAAAAATATTGTGGTGGAAAGTCCGAGGACTTAACATTTCCTCCCACCAAAATATATTATATTTCAACTAAGGGTTTTGTGCGGGAAGCGGACATAGCTTCACGCAAGGTCTTTTCAACGTACCTTGGGCAGTACGGACTGTAGCCACTCTTGCCACTCCATCTGCGCCAGGAAAGAGGCTTTCAACGCGCCCAAGGCGCCATTGTAACGGAGGAGTATTCTCATTCATAATGAGAACGAGGGTGCCGGGTATCAAATTATAGCCCTTATGCAACCATTTGTTGCGTTGTTGTAAGGTACATAAGTACTCAGTGTGCCAGCGCTTCCAAATGTCTTGGTGAAATCTCTGGAGTAGTTGCCACCTATTTAGACGATTGAGTTTCAAATTAGACCAATCAGCATCTGGCACTGCCGTTAGGGGTTCGAGGGTGAGAAAATGCCCGGGGGTAAGCACGGAAAAGTCGTTGGGGTCAGCACTTATAGGAGAGAGGGGTCTAGAGTTGACAATGGACTCGACTTGAGATAAAAGAGTATGAAACTCTTCAAAAGTCAGGATTTGGTTTCCAACAACCCGGACCAAATGAGATTTTACCGATTTGATGCCTGCTTCGCTCAGACCGTTCAGATGAGGTCCTCCCGGAACATTGAATGAGAATGAGATTTTTTCATTCTCTGCCGCATCTTGCATGTATTTCCCAAGAATACGGGCTGCACCGACAAAATTAGTGCCGTTGTCACAGTATATTTTTGACAACCGGCCACGACGAGCAACGAAACGACGTAGAGAGGCGATAAACGCATCTGAGGAAAGATCTGATACCGCTTCCAAATGTATCGCCTTCGTCGCAAAGCACACAAAGAGGCATATATATGCCTTATGCGATGGGATTCCTCTGCCCTCAGATGGAGTGATATCAAGAGGGCCTCCAAAATCAACCCCTACACACGAGAAGGGTTTTATTTGGCTCATTCGAAGAGGGGGTAAATCACCCATAAATGGTGCTACAGAGGGAG